GTGGTTGGTACAGTGGATGTCTCACCACAAGGTACTGTACCCCTGACAATGGGAGAGCCTGTCTGAGGACATGATGCAATCAGAATTATCTTTGGAAAATGGGATTTGTGGTGGGGGCCATTTGACAGTATTCTGTCAGACAGAGAAGCTACCTCATTCTAGTAGAAATGAAGAGTTTTTTTTTTTTTTAATTTTTACTAGCTGGGATTTTTTTTTCTAAATATAGAGGATTACAGCATTTCTTCATGAATTAAGGCTTGAAAGTCATAGGGAAAGTATGACTACGTTTATTTTACAGATGAAAAAACACAGGCTTAGAGATGTTACGTAGTTCACAGTGGAGTCTGGACTTTGCCTGTAGCTTCTGGAGAGAAATTTGTATCATAACTATCTGGAGTGTTTTTATTTGAGAATGTGGCTGGCCATGACTGATAATCTTCAGATGAGAGCAGACCACACCAGAAAGCTCAGCCATGTGATTTTAGAATTGGGTCTTTGAATCATGTGGTATCAGTTAACCTGGAGGCTGAATCTCAACTATAGAGGCAGTCAGTCAATCCATCACGCTTACCTAATAGGACCACAATAACAGCTCTGCACACGGGGAGACCTGGGTCAGCTTCTCTGGTTGGCAGCACTGCATGTGTGGTTATCACCCACGAGTGCCGAGAAGGCAGTATGTGCTAGGGGCATGTGGAATCCTCTGTTCCCCTGCATTACAATTGGTCATCACCAGGTGTGTAACAGCCTTCCTGATTACTGTGGGCCTTTCTCGTGAATTAGCAAGCACAAGGGTAGCTTTGGGAAACTACTGACTTTTAAGTTGGTGCAGAAGTCAGAGAAATCTTGTATGAATTTTCCCTTTTTACTTTGTAGCTGGACTGTAACTCCTTGCGGTGGGTGTCAGAAATGATCATGCACTCAAACTATAGTTTGGCTAACTCCACGTTAGTAACCAGAACCAAAGCCTGAAATGGAACCCAAATGATTGTAACACAGGTGACACACACGTGCGCATACAATACTACAATACTTTTTTTTTTTTATTTACAAAATAGTGTTAATCAATCACCATAGTGCGTCCTACCAGGAATATCCAAACCAGTGTAGAAATTGCTGAAACAAACTTCAGTAGAAACGACAGTAACCAGAGCATCTGGAAAGTGGGGTGTAGTGGGAGGTAATAGGAAGGAGTCAGTCTGCTGGGGCACAAAGTAGCAGAACCCAGTGAGAACTAGTTCCTAGTTTTTGGCTTTGGCTTGACACAACCCCAGCTATTGCAGCCATTTGGGGAGTGAACCAGTGGATGGAAGATCAATCTCTGTCCCTCCTCTCTCTGTAACTGCCTTTCAAATAAATAAATCTTTTTAAAAATCACTTTTAACTTTTTAAATTACTTTAAAGTTTAATCATACTTTCTATAATGCAAGTATATCGTAAATAAGTGTATTTCACATTTTATTTGATTTGCATATTAAGCTATATGTTCATCCTCATAGGCTGGCTTTAACCAATAATACAATCAGCTAATGATAACAGAAAGTAGATGATCATATTGTCAATTCAGTGGAAAAAGCAGTGGTGTAGATTGCAAATCTCAGGCTTCAGTTGAAATTCTTGTTTGTTTCATCCATGACCGTTTGATAGCCAGGCCAAATTTCCTTTACCTGAACATCTGCATGGGTCATTTTCACCCAAGAGAAGCAAGATATTATGACACTCCCTTTGCAATTTGTACTTTTTTAGGCAAGCCAAGACAGTGATTCTCAAGTTAAAAACATTTAGAATCAGATCACATGATAAAGTTGACAGCAAAACTCATTAAAGGAAGAGAGAGATTCTAATACCACTTCAGTAGGGGAAAAAACCTATGTGCACTTAATCTGTTCCACTGATTATGTAAATTTTCCAACAGTTATTTTAAAAGTTTCTTTCATTTTTAAGGTTAGAGATCAGATACTTGAAAAAGCAAATTGATAATTTATTTATTTTCTACAACAATTTATTAGGAGCAAATAAACAAATTGATAGTTTATTAAGTTGTCCTAGAGACTTAAATTTCTTTGAAATCTTACAACCATGCAAAGATGTGCATTTGGAATCATGGGATCTGCGTGCCAAACTACTTCTGGATATTCAGTTTTGCAAAAAGTTAAAGCCAGAGAGATGGTTTTCATATCAAATGGTTTCATAAGAGCTGAGTTGGTTCCAAAGAGGACCTCTGTTCTCGGCAGTAGTATCAGGCCTATGTTATCTGCTTTGCGACTTGTAATTGCTGATATGTAGCTCACAATTAGTACACAAGGCCTTAATATAAGTGATATAATTGATTTTCAGAAAAATCATTTTTTATTCACTGACCTCCTTTGAAGAACTGGAATTTTTACCATTCCAAATACTCTGAATTAGAACTAAGCAACTATATTTTACTCACAATTGTGTTAACATGTAAGGAAATACTTTTATGATTTTTTTGGAGTCTGAACAACTCAGAAACTGAACTCCCTTACTAGATCTACATACTTGATTTTCTTACAAAAATAACTTGTTATTATGCAATATTAATATGAAAAAAGGCAGTCTATGACAGTAAACTAATAAGTGGAATAACCCCTGTTTCATCATGAGCTACAGTGAAACATTTTTCACTGTAAAATTATTCTTCTTACCTGAACAAAAAAGAAATTATTTTTAGTTTATAGTCGTCCAAAAAAGACACAGGTTGAAACACAAAGTCTGGGTAGTAAAAATGTATTAGAAAGATGCTACAAAAACCAGCAATTGTATAGGGAACATTTTTATGAAAGCAATTTCAGAAAATAAGTGAACACATTTATCTCTAAAAGTCTTTTCTTGCTTTTTTTTTTTTTGGGGGGGGGCAGGCAGAGTTAGACAGTGAGAGAAAGACAGAAAGTTCTTCTTTCTGTTGGTTCACCCCCCCCACCCCCAAATGGCTGCTATGGCCAGCGCACCGCAGCGATCCGAAGCCAGGAGCCAGGTGCCTCCTCCTGGTCTCCCATGCGGGTGCAGGGCCCAAGCACTTGGGCCATCCTCCACTGCACTCCCAGGCCACAGCAGAGAGCTGGACCGGAAGAGGAGCAACTGGGACAGAATCCAGCTCCCCAACTGAACCCGGGGTGCCGGCGCCGCAGGTGGAGGATTAGCCTAGTGAGCCACAGTGCTGGCCAAAAATATAAAGTCTTCTCTCTGTCTCTCTCTCTCACTGTCTAACTCTGCCTGTCAAAAAAATATATAGTCTACTTTGATATATTTGTGATACTCTACAATGCCCAATGAATTGCTAGACATTTACTTCATTTATGCACTTACTGTTGTAAAAAAGTACTCAATTTGAAAATTTAAAAGTATTTCTTGAACTTTTATAAGTGAAAGAAAAACAAAGAATCTCTTTATGTTAATGTAGCATGAAATCGCTGTATCTGTTTATTTTGTAACATCATGAGCATTTTTAAAAGAAAAAATATAATCAGAATATTTAAGTTACCTCTGTTTCGGCCAGTCACAAAACTTCCAGTGAAAAAGTTCACTTTGTATATCCTACCCATGTATGTAGACAATAGCAGAGAAGGCTGTGGTGGAGCCAGACACCCAGAACCTCATTTCTAGGGGACAGCAATCTACAGCCAATGGACTAAATTTGGCCTGGGGCCTGTTTTTGCATAGCGCTAAGAATGCTTTCTGTTTCTTTAAAGGGTTGTTAATAAAATAAACCACCAACAAAAGAATACACAACAAAGAATGGTCTCTAAAGCCTAAGATACTTATGATGTGGCCCTGTACTGAACAAGTTTGCAAACCATTTCTACCAGTGTTTTACAGAATTCGGAGTGGAGCTACAAACCAAGATAATGTTTGTTTATTCCCACCATGAAGATATATTTTAAATCTCTATAAATCCTATCTGGTTGCTTAATAATTTAGACTAACAGTGACATTGAAATCTGTCTTCCATTATCACCTTTCTTGCCATTTCAGGTTTCAAAAAACTTCAGCACTGTTTTGGGGGCTGAAACTACCTTTATTTTATAAGTAGTTGGAAAAATTAACAAGTACAGGGGAAAAAAATTAGTCCACTAAAGAGAAGCGGGAAATCAAGCTCCACCTTTAAGATTGGCAACTTCTCTGTGAGGGAACCTGGACCCAGTGAAGAGAAAAAGCACTGTGAATTAGAGCCAGAGCCTGCAGGCCAGGTGAGAGAGATTATAGCACCTTCCACAGTTTCTAATTGCCTCAGGTGTGAAAACAAAGTCCTATTGACTTAGCTCATCTCTGGAAACAGGTACTGATATAGGTAGAAAACAAGTGATGTGGTTATCTTTTACCAGAGATAAAGTGGGAATTTCTAAAATGAAACTTCAATCTCAATTTTTTTCAAACACTACTTTTTTTTTTTTTTTCACAAGCCAATACACATTCTGAAGGGTTGGCAAATATCGGTATTATGCAATCCAATTATACCAAAACCACATTTAGCCTGGGGTAGATATATTTATTTTTGGTAACATACATTAAGTGGCACTAATTACACAGGAACCATAAGGTAACAAACCTGAAACCACAGAGCTGTAACTCTGCCACAGCCGCATGGACTTGGTCTTGCTGGTTGAGTCCCCACTCCCCCCCTTTTTTTTGAAACAAACTGGATACCCAGAGGTATACCAATGAGATCTGCTAAGGAGCAAAGCGCCACAGTGGTAACGCGTCAGAGTACCCTGCAGCTGCCAGGTGGGATGCTGGTTTTAAAGTAGTTCCAACCTGATTCACAAGAGACACCTGCTTTCCCTTTCAAGAAAGAAGCAAGAAGTGAAGAAATTCACAGCACCTGCTGTGTCAGGCAGGGTTAGGGTACAGGGCGGGGGGGTGGTGGTGGTGGTGGTGGCCGAGTTGGGTTTCATTTGTCCATGGTTGCTTTTTAAACCCTCTTTGCTAGGTTGCTTCCGGTTTGCAGTCTTTGGTAAACCCTCTGGTTAATGAAAAAAACAAAAAAAAACACGCCAATAAGCAGACAGGAAGCCCGGCGAACACGCCACTCGCACCGAGCCGCAAGGTTTCACAGGACCAGGCAGCCCCACCTCTTCTTGCCGCGTCTGGCGTGCAGAGCAGCCCTCGTGGCCATCTCAAACACCTCCCTCACGCCCTCTTTGGTCTTCGCCGAACACTCCAGGTAGCCGAAGGCGCCAATCCTGCTGGCCACGTCCCTGCCTGCCTCAGGCCGCACGGGCTCCTGCTTCCAGGCCGCCAGCGCCCGCCTGGTGCCCGCGTCGTTCCGCAGGTCCTTCTTGTTCCCCACCAGGACGAGGGGCACGCCGGGGCAGAAGTGCCGGACCTCCGGGGCCCACTTGGCCGGCACGTTCTCCAGGCTGTCCGGGCTGCTGATGGCGAAGCACAGGAGCACGACGTCGGTGTCCGGGTAGGACAGCGGCCGCAGGCGGTCGTGCTCCTCCTGGCCGGCCGTGTCCCACAGCGCCAGCTCCACCCGCCGGCCGTCCACCTCCACGTCGGCCACGTAGTTCTCGAACACCGTGGGCACGTACTCCTCCGGGAAGTGGTCGCGGCTGAACACCACCAGCAGGCTCGTCTTGCCGCAGGCGCCGGCTCCCACCACCACCAGCTTCTTCCGGAGGGCGGCCATGGCGGAGGGAGGCGCCGCGCCCGCCGCAGGCCCAGCCCGGGCGCCAGTCCGGGGCGTCGCGGAGGCTGACGAGGGAACGGACGTGCGCGAGCCGCTCGGGAGCCCTGCAGCTCCGGGAGCGGGAGACGCGGCGCGCTTTCCCTTCTCCCCGCCAAGTGGGGCAGTGTGAGGGCGGCGCGGAATGGCCGTGTGGAGACGGCGCGGTGCCGGTGTGTACAACGGCAGGAATGACCGGAAGCTGTGTGTGGACCTCGTATTTATAACAACCATGATGGCGGCATGGAGACTGCATGCTAATGGCTCTGTGGAGACGGCGCGGTGCTGGTTTTCACAACAGTAGGAATGACCGGAAGCTGTGTGTGGACCTAAAATGGCGGCCTGGACACATGGCGTTTTCCTTTTCCCCGCCAACTGGGGGCAGCGTGAGGACGGCACAGGTAGTGGCCGTGTGGAAACGGCACGGTGCTGGTTTGTACAACGGCAGTAGTGACCGGAAGCTGTGTGTGGACCTAAAATGGCGGCTTGCACACATGCTGCCTTCTCTTTTCCCTGTCAAGTGAGGGCAGTGTGAGGACGGCGTGGTGTGGAAACGGCGCGGTGCGGTGTGTACAACGGCAGGAATGACCGGAAGCTGTGTGTGGACCTCGTTTTTGTAGCAACCGCAGTGGCAGCGTGGTGACGGCACGCTTCTGGGTTTCACCTCCAGGTAGGAACGCGGGCTGTGCAGGTGCATGGTGCCACCTTGCACGCCAGCAGTGTGGATACTATGCATGTTGAGGCAACCCGAGTTGAGGGCCTTGAACTCTGGTCTGAGAATTAAGTTAGGTCCGGTTGCTCTTTAGAGCTACTGTGTAATTCATGTCATATTTCCTGTTTGATCTAATATATGTAATATTTTGGCATTTCTTTTTTTTTTTTTGGACAGAGTTAGACAGTGAGAGAGAGAGAGAGAGAGATAGAGAGAAAGGTCTTCCTTCCATTGGTTCACCCCTCAAATGGCCGCTATGGCCGGTGTGCTGCACCAATCCGAAGCCAGGAGCCAGTTGCTTCTTCCTGGTCTCCCATGGGGTGCAGGGCCCAAGCACTTGGGCCATCCTCCACTGCCTTCCCGGGCCACAGCAGAGAGCTGGCCTGGAAGAGGAGCAACCAGGACAGAATCTGGTGCCCAAACCAGGACTAGAACCCGGGGTACTGGCGCCGCAGGTGGAGGATTAGCCAAGTGAGCTGTGGCACCGGCCTATATTTTGGTATTTCATCAACAAAACACAACAGAAACAATTCAAAAGAACGTATTCAGTACTTTACATCTGGAAATGTAAGGGAAATTGGCTTATGTTATACAGTGGAGGCACCGTTGGGAATTAAGGGGTTTTCTAGGGGTACTTCAGTACTTTCATATCCATTTGTAAAAGCTAGTGGAAAATTAGCGCGACTAAAGCAGGGTACTGAGGATTCAGACCCATCAGGCCTGGAGGTTTCCTCAGCCTGTCAGGACTACTCAAATAGTCTAAATGCTTGGGTACTCCCCAAATTCGTATGTTGGACTCTATCTCCAAAGAGGAGGTGGGTCCTTTTGGAGATGATTACATTTAAAATGTAGCCCTTATACATGCACATTTACAAGAAGAAACAGAAAGCCGCCTGTCCCTCCCATCACGTGAGGACATAGTGAAATGGTGCCTTGTATTAACAGGAAGTGAGCCCTCACCAGAGAGGAAAGCGGTTGCTACCTTGACCTTGCACTTCCCAGCCTCCAGAACTGTGAGAAATACTGTTATAACACCCCAAACAAACTAAGACACCAAACAACTGAAGTCCTAGTTAAGGGCAAACAAATCATGGAATGGAAGTTTTAACCATCAAGCATAAGCCTCTCCTCCAAGTTTCTAAGTTTTAACAATTTCACCCTTTTCCCTTTGTTCCCTCAAGCCTATGGATAAAAACTGTTTCTTGCAGTTGCTACCTCTTGTCTGTACTCTTTCAGTGAAACTATTTAATAGTTTTTTATTTAGTTAACTATGTTTTATTTGAAATTATATGGTTTGACTTTCAGCATTTTCAGTTATCGATAGTCAGCTGTGTTCCGACAATACTAAATGGAAAATCCAGAAATAAGCAATTCATATTTTAAATAGCATTGTATTTTTAATAATTGTTAATTTTGTTAGATTTTTTTAGAAATCTCTTGCCGTGACTAATACGTAAATGAAACTATCACAAGTATGTATGTCTAGTGAAAAGTATCCATGGTATATATATATATGGTACTATCTATGATTTCAGGCATCTGCAGAATGTCTTAAAACATATCCTTGGTTGATAATGGAGGACTATTGCATCTCTGTGTAGTTCATACTTTTTGAATGGACACTGATATAGTTCTCTTATACAACATTTTCCAAATGCAACTCCATGGGCTTCAGTCTTATAATTTTATCCTGTTTTTTAAAACTTGAATGGAGCTTAAGTAGTGTCATCTTATATTCCTAGTTATTTTGTTAGGCCTTCCAGCACTGTCCATAGATTAGCTTATCTTCATTGGTGTCATAGATATCAGAATGTAGGACTTTGGGAATCTACTGAAGATTCTTGCACAGGGGCTGGCATGAGAAAAGCAGTGTTTAATAAAGATTTATGAAAGGTTTTATGGATGGTGGAGAAAGCTAGGGGAGAGATCACAAACAGGCAAATTTCTGTGTTGCAAGTTATGTTCAATATAATACCATTTGTGTTGGGGTGGTGGAAGTGGCAATAAAAGTGAAGACTCAATCAAGAGCTATTGTGGAAGAAGAAATCTCCGTGACAGTGGACTTTAGACATGAACTCTGGTCCTACCTGCCAAGCTACTACCGTATGGTAATGGGAGTCAGGGTTCTCCGTGAGATCTTGCCCATGCCTGCCACTGTGTTTGCATGCACAGAGTATTTGCCGAACAAAACAAAAAATAAGCCATTCAGTAAGGTTGAACTCAAGAATCAGATTTCTATGCCAGCACCCGAAATTAATTTAGGATATTTCATAAGCTAGGCCATAGCAGAGGCAGCATACAGAAAGCACTGGGATTTTCTCAGTATTTTTGTCACACTCTCAGATTTCAGTAGCTCTTGTGAGATCCGATGTTTGTCCTTTGGTATTTGGAGTAAGAACTGTAGTGAGGAGAGAAACAATACTTGATACTCCTGTTTCAACTTTCATCTTAGGGAGATTGTATGTGCCTGAATCTGGGGGGCTGGACTTGTATAAAATTTCTGATCTTTCCCAAATCGTGTGCTTCTCGCTGCTGCTGGTGGGTCTGGAGTATGGTGTGTTCCCTGCATCTCCGCAGGGACAGAAGAGCGCGGCCTTCCATCCGTGCAGTGTCTTGGGTTGGTGAATTTCTTGCCTGTCTTCCCCACACACTCCCACCAGCAGCAGTTGGCTTCAGATAGCTATCTTTGAAGGATGTGGGACCACTGGGTTTCCTGTTCTTCCGTCATTTTAGGTGTTGCCTACTGGTGATAATAAGGGGTTATTTGCAGACAGGTTTGGTGGTTTTCCCATGTAGGATTCCCCCCAAAGTAAATACCAAGGTTTGGGGGCTGACTTGAACTTCGAGAAAAGCAGATAATTCATCCAAATCTACCCATAGGTCTTGGTAACTGGATTCTTCTTATAGATGAGTTACAGTTTATTTCATCTTTACTTCTGATGGTTCTGGTTTATTTTCATATTGCCCCACCCTGACTTGTACAGTCTTAATGAACTTTTTTACTTGAAAAATTTTAAAATTTCTCAGTGATACATGAATTTACTGCATTACTCTTCATTTACAAACATTTGAAAGTTGGATTATTTATTGGATACATTTAGATTAAACTAAAATTAATATTAATTAATGTATAATCATTAAATATTTAAAATATTTGCTTAGTATTTAATCAAATAACAGTATTTTAGAGTTTTAAAATTTTATTAGTGGGATAGGAAAAAGTGGGAAAGAAGGGAGATTTTTTAAGTGCGGTGTTTAGCTCTGAGGAAGTAAGGTGCATGAGGGTGACAATTCTGTGCTTCTGAGAAGGGCAAGGTGGTATTCTGTGATGAAGCATGACAGACAGGAAATTATTTTACTCTAGGCTCATTTGAAGGCTGAATGTGATGAACCCAAGTTCACATTTGAAGATTTCTGAGGCAGCCAAGGTTAAGATTTTAAGGCCACTTAAGATTTTAACTGATTTCTTAGAAGGATGACTTCTGCCCTGTGATTTATATCCTGTAGTGTATGACTGTTTTTCTGTTAGTAATCTTCCGGTGAGTTTTTTTTTTTTTTCTGACTTTCCTTCAAGACACTTGTTTCTACTACTTGGATCATGCTCTGGGTCACAGATTTATGTCTTGAGAAGGCTGTTGCACAATCTCAGGCTTCAAGAAATAGTTCTGTGTTTCTATTTTATTATATCTCTGCATGTATATGAGTAATTTCCATAATAAGATCAAAGCACTTTTCTTCAAATAATAAATGAGTCCCTGCCAGTTGTGCCTGTTTTCTAAAGTAGAGTTCTCATCATGACTCGTCATCCTGTCTTCCACGAATTCCGTGATTCTATAGACTGAATGTGAATTCTCCGAATTCATATATTGAAATCTAATCCCCAGTATGTTGGTATTTGGAGTTTTTTTTCTTTTTAGCATTTTTGAGATATGTCCATGCAATTTATTTTTATTTTTTTAACCTAGAAGCATTTTATTTAAGGTATACAAACTTTATGCATTTCATATAAATGTTGGAACATAGTGATTCTTCCCCTCCTGACCTTCCTTCCACCTGCTTCCACCCTTCTTCAACATCCTTTGTTAAGTTTATTCCAAGGCATTTGATATTTTTTGTAGCTATTGTGAATGGGATTGATGTTAAGAGTTCTTTCTCAGTCATGGCATTGTCTGTATATGCAAAGGCTAGTGACTTTTGTGTGTTAATTTTATATCCTGCCACTTTACAAAACTCTTTTATGAGTTTCAATAGCCACTTAGTGGAGTCTTTTGGATCCCATATATATAGAATCATGCCATCTTCAAATAGGGATTGTTTAATTTCCTCCTTCCCAATTTGTATGCCTTTGATTTCTTTTTCTTGCCTAATGGCTCTGACTAAAACTTCCAGGACTGTATTAAATAGAAATAGTGAGAGTGGGCATC